TACCATTTTACTTGTTTATAAAATGGGTTAATCTAGTATATTTCTAGCTCTTAAGGCATAGCCCCACTGATGGTGCCGCAGCGATAGCGACTGAGAAAGTCTGCATAGCTATCCTGGCACTAGTCATTCAAAGTATGCAGCATTACATATCAGCCGCATACTTTGTCATATCTATGTCCACTATTCATTTTATTCACACACAAATATATGCCGTGTTACTTACTCAAGTATTTAAATATAATGAAATTTCAGACCGCAATCTCATTATGTCACATAGCCAAATATAAAGTTAGGTAAACCTAAAATGTGTTCCTTCCTTGCTTTATCTCAGAGAAACTCATGGCATCATTTTTACAAAGCCTTTGCTTCTTATTAATTCATACCCACGCACTAAGAAAAACACGAATATAATTATACACAATTTCCAGTTCTTTTTAAAAGGAAGTTCCTTAAAAGCTTAACGGCCTATGCATTGCGATATAAACATGTATAAATGCTTTAACCCGTTCTACTTCTGGTAAAAACTTCCACTTATATAGTGTACACTACAGCGGCTGCACGATGCCTTACGCTACTTGCGTGCTGCGATACTTTTACGGCTTCCGACGAGCGACTTTTCAAAACAAACTAAACGAAGTCCACGCCGTGATCTTAAACCAATTAAAATCTGTTCACAAATCTTCGCGCCGGCTACGCTCCCACAGTACATGGACAAACTGAAAACTTCCAGATTCAACTACTTAATTGGCCAAGTTTCTTGCACTGAAATACTTCACTGAATTCCGGTCGAAATGAGAATAAACAATTCTGGAGTGAGTGCCTTCGATTCGTTATTGGCACGCTACTTTTTTAAAGAGAGTAAGTAGTGGCAGTCAAAGCAACGCTTGAAAACGTGTGTGAGAATCGATCATTGAATCCGCATTGATCTCTGTGACACTTTACAGGAAGCGTTCGTTAAGAAGATGTAGCTATTCAGTCGTTAGTGCTGCAAGCGCGAGTGTGTGCGCCGAGGCAGCGTACGTTCGCTTGGGGGTCGACGGCCGGGGGTGCAAGGGGGCGCTTTGCACTTCCGCCTCGCTGCACTCATTTCCGCATAAACAGCGCCTCCTAGTATCAAGATGTAGTCCCACGGATGACGCTATCAAAGTGCGTCTACCTTCCTTTCACTCATTACCTACTTTAAAAACGACGAAGTGAAGCAAAAATCTCGTAGTACAAATAAATAACATTGCAAAATTCAAATGCAGAATGTAAAAAACAAACGCTTAAGCGAGGAAAAAAGTGTAGCGAGTGTAACTAATCAAGGTGAACCCAACTCTGGTGGAAAGAAGGAACGCAATTTGAAGTCCCCCTTAAAAGTTTCGAAAGTGAAGGAGTGTGGGTGAAGTAAAACAAAGGCAGGGTCGGTGTGTGCGGGGTGCGAGCGGGGGACGCGGGACGCAGGGCGGCCGGCACACGGCGCGCCACTCGTGCTGAGTGCTCCGCATTGTGCCGCGCGTACAATGCGCCCGCCGCCCGCCCTGCAGCCACACCACACGTCGTCTGTGACCGGCCTAACTCATTCGCTTTGTACAGCTTATTAGAGTACTCAATCGGACACGTGGACATGATCAATTAATAATTAGACACCTATAAGACTCTTATTATAGGCGTTGATTCACTATAATCACGTAACGCACAGCCATACTTGTGACAAGATCCAACAGGCAAACATTGCCAACAAACCGATATACGGTATACCGACTCTAAATCCTAATCCCTTAGTCAGAATTACAACAATTAATCTACTGTTTCATAAAACAAACCGTCATACTTTTACATCGATATGTAAAAATATAAAAAAATGATTGTTATTGAAGGAGAGAGGATCATTAGTGAGGCAGGCACTAATGAAGCCCTCGATACGAGTCAAGTCGCAGAGATATCGCACACCGCTCGAGCCACTGCCCTCATAATGTTACTTCGTACCCTAGCCTCGTATCTTACCATCTTTCAAACAAAAAGACTGCTTAGGAACGTCTGATGACTAGGCATAGACAATATAAGTATCTAGGATAAAAAGCTTCAATTGAGAAATTTTTTCACATCATTTTAAATTATTTATTAATACGTTCAGAACCCCTGAAGTAACTAGTTTATTATCATGCGAAAATTCGTAGTGGCATGTATCTTGTTAAGGTAGAATGAAAAGAATTCAATTAAATTGGACCTAAATCCGGACCAGTTAACGAATCTACACGTGAAAATGTCTGGGAAGCGGGTCAACAACTCTCATCCCGCTGATAGTGGTCGACCGACGTACAAATAATAGTGGTTAAAATGTTTTTTTAGTAACGCGTTAGATAACTGGCAGGCAGTTGACAGCTTTGAATAATTAAAAATTAAACTTACCAAAAACAAACCGTTTTATGCTCAATTGAAAACTAGAGATAAAGACTTTTATGTTTTTGTTTTCAATTTGTCTAATGGAAGCTGTGATTGTTTTTTTTTAACAAAGAGAGTTTATTATCTAGAATAATTTATATTTATAATCTGTAATCTGTAGATTACAGATTATTGTACTTGCGTATTTTACGAAGAAGCTTGAATGAACCTCGAAAATAAATGCTCATTGGCTTCCCTTATCGTGTATTTCTTACATAGTGGTCTACTATTTTTTTTCTATTATTTTACTATTATTTTTCGAGGTTCATTCAAGCTTCTTCGTAAAATACGCAAGTACAAATCTATTGTAGACATATATGACATTGGATTTAAGATTTTAAAAGGTGTACCATAGATTATTGAGCAAATATAGAGACCGGCGACAATGTAGGTGGAGGGTAAGGGCTTATCGAGAGACGGCGTGAAAGCGTACGCCTCTCCTGTCACAAGGGCTTCTTTGTGCATTGCACTAGTACCACTTTCTAGCGAGGACTTACTTCCTTTTAAACATAATGAACTAAAACGCCATAGAAACGTGTATCGACGGTCGAAATTTCAAGTGTACGTTAGATAAAGAGAGTTGTAGTGTCCTTACACAGTATAGATTTTTACATTACACAGATAGTCTGGAAGAACACGTAGGCTACCAACTTTTGTTTTTGTGAACTCGACGCGAACGGAGTTGCGGGCGAAAGCTAGTAACTAATGTTTTACAATTACAAAATTCAGTGATCAGAGTGTAACTATGAAACTGTCTCAGTAAGTATTTAACTAAAGTATAAGGATAATATATTTTCAAGTGCAAGTGAATAAATATTCCTCCTTAATAGTAAACAAATTTGATATTTCATTTATAAGTCCCCGAATAAGAAATTCAAGGAGTCCTCAATTATTGTCATTATGTCTCCCCAACTGTCTCTACTTATTTGACGTAAAAATGTTAAATGGATTTATAAAGCACTTTATTTGTAATATCGAGTCCAAGAAACAATTTGAAATATTTCATCCGGAGCGACGTTTAAGAGGAAAGCCCAATTCTCAGAATGAGACGAAAATTTAAGAAGAAAATACTTGTAATAACAAATTGATTAAAGTCTCATATTGCTCAACATTAACATGTGTTCAGACTGCTTAAAAATTACTCATCATCATCATCAGCTCACTATACGTCCCCACCGAGGGGCTCGGAGCCTACCCTAAGTTAGGGTGTCTAGGCATAGGTCATAGTCAACCACGCTAGCCAAGTGCAGGTTGGTCGACTTCACACATATCTTTGAATTTCTTCGCCGATATCTGCAGGTTTCCTCACCATGTTTTCCTTCACCGTAAGAACGTCGAGTAAAAATTACTGTGAATTAGTAATCCGAATTAAAGCGGGCGCTTTTTGACTAAACTATCGCACAGCTGTTGTGCGGTTGCCAATCGTAGATTGTTTCACCAGTAGAACACCTAAAAATCCAGTAGTGTACATAGGAATCAAAGCGCGTCTAAACAGTTATGAGATATTTTAGTCTGAGGTGTGCGCGCGCTCTTACTATGTGTTCTCTAATTTTTACTAATACTATAAATGCCAAAGTTTAAATGGATATTTGTTAGAGTTTGTAGCCTAAACGGCTGAACGAATCTTGATGAAAATCGGCATTGACGTAAATGATAGTCTGGAAGAACAGATAGGCTACTTGGTTTGTTATTTTAATACTACGCGGAGGGAGTCGCGGGCGAAAGCTAGTTTTTTTTATAAATGACAATTATGTCATGTACAAGTTTGTTACTTATATGTAAGAGATAGAAAAAACTATGCTATAGAGTACCAAAGTATGTGAATATCTTGTGTTACGAAAATACAAATTACAAGGAGATATCATAAAAGATTAATGTCTCCAAAAACGGTCGGCTAACGCGATAACAATCAAAATAATAGAATTACATCACTGTCGGGTGATATAAGTAGGTCATTATTTCCTAATCCGGTTCTAATGGTGTAGGCAGAGTCGTGCCGGGACGAGCGCGGTGAGGTCGTCAAGGAAATGAGTTCAATTTAGCATTATCTCGGAGAATTGACTGCCTGCCGACTGCGTCCGCTTGTTACATTGAATTATATACAATGACAACGGCGATGGGAAAGCTATTAGAAAATTGCGTAATAAATGTACCATGATAACGGTAAATACGTCTTCACGTTACGGATATTGTGTAACTGCTTCAGTCTTAAGAATGCAAGTAAAACATGAATTACAATCATAAACATATAGTCATCTTGTTCAGTTCCACTTGAGAATATACCTAAATCATAGAACTCCCAAAAAATGGGAAAAAATTTAAGTATTTACTCAACAAAATCTGGCAGTACACTAACCTTTACTGTGTTAGCTCCTACAATCATTTGTCCACATTTCTACTTAATTTTTCTGACCAGTACTTTCACCGCTAGAAAGGTAATTTATCTGTGAGTAACATAGGCTTTATAACAGTATCATTTTTTAAATTCCACGCGGACGAAGCCGCGAACAAAAGCTAGTTAACGATAATTTTATATAACTAGTTTACTAACATGTCGCAATTTATCGTTTTTCCAGCGGGTGTGATGACGTACAGCGTTCTCTGGAGCTACTGGACCAAGTGTTAAGTGAGTACGACGAGGGTGAGCCGCGCTCGCTGGAGGCCCGCGCCGCTGCCACGGCTGCCACTCCGGCCACGCCAGCCACGCCCGCTACTCCTGCCACGCCAGCTACTGACGACGATTCGCCGCTCGCAGGACATACTTCAGAGGACGATGGATACATGAGCATGAACGGAAGACGGTGAGTAGACATTGTAAACTATCTGTTCCCGTACGGCTTCATCCGCATTAATTATAAAAACTTTATTTTATTGTTTACATTTGTCAAATTCTCAGGTGCAAATGTCAATATGACTGTTACCACAGTAACATTGCTTCCCTAATGTTGGCAGCTTGTAGTTTATGGTCCTTTGTGGAAAGGTTTTTTTTTTCAATTTATTTTCCCCCTTAATTTGATTGCTGATTTGTTGCTTGTGATTGCTGACTTCCTACGCCACAAATTAGTGTGTGTTTACGCTATTACATTAGTATAGATTGAGTATACTTTTTTCATAGATGATGACTCACATCAATAGTCAAAGTAAATTCAAAGATAATTTTAAAACTGTCTCACTGCGAGTTAATGCAGAAGAAACTTTGGAGTTGTGAAAGATGCAACAAGCAAACGTTATTACAAAAGATCTGAGCACATGTAAATCATTTCAAAGTGACAGTTGTCAGCATCACGCGTTGCTGCTCGTAAATCTACGAGATACTGTCTGGAACGAAATACGATACATGACACTCCAGCAGTAAACGAATACTCTATTTACAATAAGTACTCTTTTACTATGTTTATGTACATATGTACAAACGAACTAGCGTCGTCGTAGTTCTATGACGCTGCAAAACAAATCAATGATAAAAGTAATGATTGGCATTAAATTAAATTACAGAGCGAAATTCGCGCTAGGGTTCCGGCCGACAGAGGAGCGCGAGGAGCCTTCGCCCCCCGACCCGCCGTCTCCGCGCTCCCCGCACTCGCCGCGCTCGCCGCCGCCGCCGGAGGAGGCTCAGCGGATCATCTCCACGTTGTTACCCAAGTACGATATCACATTACCTGGCTACAAAACAATACAATACAAATTGAATTCATGATTTATACAAACAAAATACGGTACTAAAAAAATAAATAAATATAATACAGTACTAATTTGTATTTGTTAAGAGGATGACAAACTGCCGACGATTAAAAGCACTAGTTGCAGCTAAATACAGTTTGAAAGTTATACATACATTTTGTACCTCCATAAAATAAACACAAATCTCTGGAGTATGTAATAGTAACAACTTTTGAAAATATTTCATTCATACTGACGATATTACAATGTTTTTAAAGACTACAAGATAAGATAAAGATAAAGATAAAGATCATTTTTTGTTTACATATTTACACTTATACTAAAAAAAAAAAAAAAAAAAAAAAAAAAAAAAAAAAAAA